GGCTACCAATCTGGCATTCACGAGCCTGATGCTGTTTCTACTATGTTAAGCCTAATTTATGTGTTATTTATAGCCGTCGCTTAGTTTGGGAAGCCGATTACTTTATCGTTAATTCTCCATCACAACGGGGACATAATATTGAGTTTTATGTACTTTGGGATGCTTGAATCGGTAAATCTTCCACATTAATACCAACAAACTGCATTTATGTAGTCGAGATATCTCAATGTCAAAAAGCCGTTTCCTTGCCATACATTACGCGGGGGAGCCTTGATTGTCACAGATAGCAATACAAGCAAAATATCTTGTGATTGCAGATGTTTGAATTTGCAAAAAGGATTCTGCAAGGAGCAATGAACCCCCGTTGCAGCCAGTGGGTATGAAGCAAACGAGAAGTTCGCCTGTCCCCTGTTGCGTGTTGGTGAGAAACGGCACGTGAAGCAGCACCAAAACATTTGTTCCGGGTTCGGCTTCTGATTTGGAGCATTCCCAATTTTACACACTCTTGGACGTGTGTTCCTTTACGTGACTATAATCCACAAAAATCAGCTCCAATCTTCTTCCACTGCGGTACTGGAAGAATCTGACGCCAATGTCTGCATTTTGGCGCGATGCGCGGTTAACACGAAACCTTGTGACGAAACTGTGCTGAAAGTCTGCGACCAAACATTCAAGTGGCGATCCTGCACGGCCAGCATGAGGGCCGTCCAGCCGTCCTGCCATGCTCAGGCGAGCACCGTGGCGCTGCTGTTGGGAAAAGGGCGCATCGGTAGAAAAGGGTGGCGTGGTGAGACGGCACTGCCTGTTTAGCCCAGCTTGCATCTATGCGCACGGCGTGCATTTTTTTTATTTCAGTACATTTAATTATTAAATTTATAACTTAGTTTAATACATGTAATTGCACTGCGTGTGTTGCGCCCCAACCTCATGCGTGTCGTCTAGTTGCTGTGTCGGACACCTGTGACTGGTGTTGTGCTGTACACGCATGGTGTACATTGCGTGTCACAAATGTACTGGGACTGCAAATCGACCCGCACTGGTTGCCCTCAAGTGTTTTGAATCCCGACGGCCCATTGATGTGTTGCCGTTGCCTGCTGCGCACGGGACGGCTGGACAGCTCCAACGCAAGATATTGACCCCTAAAGTGGCAAATTTGCCTCGGTTGCTTTAAAGCAGCACAAATTGTACTGGGCCCCTAGTCCACGGGAAGTAATACAGGAAAGCGACGCTCCTCGTAGGAATTCCGAGTAACGAGTTTCCATGCTGCTCCCGCCAATGTCCGGTAGTCCGGTGGACTCTGCCCATTACCGACGCTTCAACCCACTGCTAGACGCTATGAGCAAGGACGCCCGGGCACTGCTCAACATGGCAACCACGTCCCTGTAGACAGGCTTGGTGTTTACGTCGTAAAAGCTGATCGTACTTCCTCCGTCCAGAATTAATCGTCCTCTATTTGAGAGACGAAATTCGTTACAAAGAACACCTTAAATTTACCAAAAAATATCAAAATCGGAAAGATTGGGTCGCGAAACCCTTAGCCACCAATTTTCAAGAAAAATAATTAGTCCCACCTCCTCTGGATGGCACCCAAAATTGACCGAAAATCGTCCAAAAAGTGTGCGTGCAGATTCCGCATCTGCTAGAGAACCGCACGTTTCTGGGTCACTCCCGTCCTTGGTGCGGTGAAGATAAATTGTTGTCATCTGTGCAGTGAAGGGCGGTGTCCCTTGTGTAGAATAGCACTTGCCAAACACGCGCGAGCGTGTCTGGATCCCCATCGTGGAAGGCTATTATCGCAGTTTTGACGATTTTCGAAATCTCAGCCATCGTCGACCTTTGGTGTGCATACGTAAAGCAAGCAGACAAGGCTAGGGCACAGGGTGTTCATTCAAGCTTGGGCTATGTGCGAGCTATTGTTCCAAGGTTATGCGGTAGACTTGTTTGGACAATCAGCCTCGATTGAGGCTTGAATCGTTGTTTTTGTGAGCAGCCTGGCTCACACCCCACAAACTGCCATGATCTGCCAATTCTTGCATGCAATCCACAATATGTCGTAGCCGATAAAGTGCGTTTCCCTTTGAGAGACATAATTTTATCTATCTATAGCTAGCTAGTCTTCTCGAGCTCAAGCCCTTCAAGTGCCAAAAACTTGTCGATTCACTATTCCTATCCGGGAGGGTCGCTGCCTAATTGCCCCATAATTGCCCCCTAATTGTCTGCTGCTGAATGGGGTGATGGCCACCACCTTCCTAAAGGTCTGCGAGGAATCTGGGAGGCCTCTTGTAGTATCCCTCATAGTGGAGTTGGAGGTCCAAAACTCGTGGTTCAGAAATTTGGACTTGATGGGCATCTCTGATTTGGCCAATCGAACTTGAATTGCGGCCGCAAGACACGGTGACTTCCACGATCAGGACTTTCAAGACACATTTTCTGTTGCCCTTTTCCTTTGCCAGCACCTCCATGATCTTCTGTCCAAACGGCATGGATAGTTTTGCCCGGGCGGCTCTGTAGCGCTGCTGGAAATGCTTGCTCCTCAAAATAGCGAAAATGGCCATTACAACAGGAATGTTGAAAAACTTGTGGGTTTCTGGCTAGATGGCCCTTGCCACAAAGTACTGCCGAATCCGCAATACTCCACGGATTGACTTGAAATTTCGACTGCATATTCTTAAAACATAGGCGCACTTTTTCAAAAAATTTGAATGAGAAATGAAGTGTCTATGATAGAGAAGTAAGGCACCAAAGTCACAGAGGACAATTAATTCCGGACGGAGGAAGTATTTACATTTTTACCCGTAAAAATATCTCTTACGTTTCTACGCGTAAAAATGCGTAAAAATACGTAAATACAACGTAAAAACTGCCCGGTGTACATAAGGACAGTACATACAGAATTACTGAGTCCGGAGAATGGCAGCCAGACGCCCTGGAAGGGGCAGAAAACGAGTTTTTGTTAAGCACCATCATCGCCCTTGCCAAGGAAGAGGTGGGCATTGCGTTGCTGGTGCTGGCGATGGTGGAGAATTGGTCATTGTACGCAACTTTCATCGTGTAACCTGGGTGCCCCAGGGAGCCGTAAAAACGTAATAATAGCCATAAAAAAGGCCCTTTTGCAAGTTTACGTTTTTACACGTAAAAACGTAGAAGTAAAAACGCAAATGTAAAGGTAAAAACCAAGCCTGCCTGTAGACGTGATGCGAATGGAGGATCACAATTGGGCAACGCTTTGACCAACAATCAGTTGCTTAGGAATGGAACCCTTTGAATATACAATGGGTTGCAAAGTGCTGATGGGTAAACAATTCAAAACAGGATTGGTTGCCGTCAGGCGCTTCGATGAACAGCATTTTCCCAAGGCTGTCAATGCACTTGCCTACACTCCCACACGCTCCTTCCGCATCGCTTTGCCACCCTGAAAAGCTGTCGTCAATCCACAAAACGGACTTCTGCCCTCCTTTTTCGCGGAACTCTTGTTCCTGGCACACAATAACTCTTGTTCCTGGCACACAACACCCGGATTGTGCAAAGAGTGCGTGCGTCACGCCGGGAGGCCGGCCCCCAAGGATCCGAGCGCCCCAAGCTAATCTCCCAGCTCCAGACGCCGCAGCATCATCCAGCAAAGTCACAGTGCATCGCCGCCCATCAAATGGCGCAGCACATCATCTGGCATCGCGGCACATCATCAAGGGGAAAACAGCAGTCCCCGCATCGTTTCCGAGAGGATCCCTTCTGCTTCTGCTGACAAGGCCAGCGCGTGTCGATGGGTCAGTGTTTGTGGTGTAGGGCTTCCGAAACAAGATTCGACAACCACAAAATAGGCAGAAGGACCACTTTCACGCCCCATCAAGGCACGGCCGGATGATGTGCCGCCTTGTCGGGTTCTGCTGCGCAGCAGCGTCCGCGAATTCACGATTGCCGTCCGGTTGCAACACCGCCGGGGCCCGCTGGATCGACACATAGGGCTTGACAGCCTCACAATCACCGCGCTCTGATTCCATCGGGCCACCCAGCAGCCGGGCAATCCCGGCAGCCTGCCTTGAACGACGAGCGCCCCCACGCGTCATTGAAACTGCTGTGGCAGCGGCGAGGGTTTGTGCGTTTGCGGTGCAACCGCCGCGCCTTCCAGGCGAGGGCGTCAGCACGCGGCCTCAAGGTCCCCCAGCAGGACGTGGACTCGCCTGAGCTGCCTCCTTGAAGCCACCGGTAGCGGAAGGCCGGTGAGTGACCTTCAGGGTATTAACGCCAGGCCGTGAGCCCATCTGGGGCGCCTGGGAGACGCGCGGGCGGCTGTGGGTGCGCGGCGGCAATTGCAGCTCGACCTGATTCTGTTGGCGTGCAGAAAATGGGAAAATGGCCCCAACGTTGCGGGCCGGCTCTCCTAACCGCGCTGTCCGAAGGGGCGCCCCCGTTGTCGAGGCCGTTTTGTCGCAACCGCAACGCCCTTCCGGAAGTGCCGGATCGGGGATTTCGCTCGCCTATCTGACTGCAGCCCACTGTTCGCATCGGCGATACCGCTGTTTGCAAGATGAGCCGCCCGGCGTTCTCACACCTCGTCACGCGGCGTTGCCCTTGCATCGAATTTCACCCCTCGCCTGCTGGAAAATGGGTGGGTGGAGGCCTGCGGTGCTGTGTTCGGTCCCTCCACCCAGTGTGATGCTCAACGTGTTCTTGGGGCCTCATTGTGCTGCGTTCGGCCGCCCCGCCTCTGTTGACGGTCAACTCGTTCGCAGCAGAGGGGTCAGGGAGCAACCCCCCTTCGCCCGTCCCTGCGTTCGCTCCTGCCCCAACACCTCCTCGAGTTGCGACGAGGCCCCGCTTGGAACGGCGCCCTGGGTCTGAGCGGAGATGCCCTCCCTGTACGCACTATATACAAGCCCGGAGGTGTGCGCCATATGTACGGGGTGGTGTATGCTTGTACCCGGGGCGATTGGCCCTGAGGTTTGAAACCCAACCTGTTCGATAAGATCTTCCCGGCGCCGTCCGCAGGGTCGCCTTGGGCGATGGCTACCGCCGGCGAGGACGCGGATGAACAGACTGCACAGGATGCGCGACGATTGCTGATGGCCCCTGATGCCGGCTGCGTGGAGGTCTTGTCGCCGGGGTCGAATCGATGGAAGCGCAAGCGCCTGCTGGCTAGAATGGATCTCAGGTGGATCAGCGCTAAGGGCGAGGCAGGCCTGCCCGAGGACACCAAGGCCTGGGTGGGCAAGGGGCACAGCATGGCGCTGGTGCGGGGCCACACGGAAGTGATCTACAAGGAGGGGGAGCGCGAGTGGGCGGTGAAGCTTGGGGATGTCAGGCAGCAGTTTAGAGCGGAGACTGCAGAAATTGCGGCCCAGTGGGTGGCCGCGCTGCGATGGCGAGTGCAGCCGTGGATCGATCTGCTCAAGGGCCAGAGTGTCGCTAGCAAGGGACTCGGAGATTTGCAGGAGCGAGAGCCGACGGGTTGGCCCCTTCGCGCGCATCAGCTGGCCACGGCCCAGTCGGTCGTGAGCGTGCTGGACAACGCTGCAGGAATTGTGAAGGACACACTGGGCCCCTTGCCCGTCGTCGGTCCGGCCCTTTCTGTGCTGGGCTTCGCCCTGGAGGTGGCAGGAAGAGTCAAGTCGGATTCGGACAGCCTCCAGCCGGCGCAAACCAGGCTGGCCCGAATCGCGGAGCGCACTTTGGAGACGCTGCAGCGGGTTGTGCAGGGGCAGGCTGAGAGTCGGTTTGAGGAGCTGTCAGAGCTGCTGGGTGTGATAGAAGAGGGCGCCCGACAACTTGAGAGTTTTGAGTACCAGTCAACCGTGCAGATGGTGGTGCACGGCGTGTTTAAGGGGAGGCCAGGGCCGTCTGCAGTTCTGGACTTGGCTTCAGAGTGCGAGCAGCGCCTGTCAACTTATGAGCAACACGACACGAACAAGGCGGTCCACGAGTTGGCAAACACATGTGAGCTACTGGAGACAAGAGAAACCATTGCATAATAGAAATTGTGAATGCCTCCAATGTTTTGAGCAGATGCGAGCACTATTTGCAACTACTTGCTTTTTTTCGCCAATCATCTACGTACATGAAAATGACAAGTTGCAATCGCCCTGCCTTGGCTGGCCTTTATGTCATGCAATTGACTTGTGCCATTGGGTACTTAAACTGGACACGGCACATATTGTTGTTGAATTGGGTTGTTTCCCCAAACGACTTGTTGTAGCCCCCATGGTGGGCCCCCTTCCCCAGTTTTGTTGTTGCCGGCAATCCCTTCTCTGTTGGCCATTTGTTGCGTGGATAGGGAACTCACGCTGCACCATGAGTCTGTGGTGCTTATGATGTGACAATCATCAAGTCCATGCTGACAATGGATAGCATAAACCTGGTTCATACCATACCTTGTTCGCTAGCGAAGTGTGTTGAAGCTCATTTGTGCCCATCTATGATTGCCATTGTCGTGCCCGTTTTGCAAAATTGCTGTAGCTGTAGGAGAGCTTTTTTATACTCATTAGTCAATTATACAAGCTCGGACCACCGCACGCGCCGCGCACATGACGTCCTCCGATTAACCTGGCGTCGCGGCGTCACGGCGTTGGCTTTTCATCCGCCATGGGGGAGATGCCATGGGGGAGAACAAATTGCGTTTTCCCATTGATTCTTTGGACAGGTTTTGTTTCCGTTCGTCATTGTCGTTAGTGCTTTGATGGTCATTTTTTGGCCACTGCTGTCATCTCGTACTGATCCGTTCCGGGACACGAGCGAGCACCCAAGAACGCGCGCCTTGAAGGGCTCTGGCAGGGAACTGTTCGCGGTGGGGGGCCCGTGGGCGAGGCACGAGGCGGGGCAGCCCAGGCGTAGGCTGCCGGCGCTTGGCTGCCCTTCGATTGACCGCAGGCTGATCGCCGAACATAGCACGCGATCTCGGTGGTCAGGCCGGTGTGGTCATCGCCAGTATGCTCGGCACAAAGTTGTGGTGAACGCGGCCCCAAAGTGTGGGCGTGGTGGCTCACACGTGCCCACTTGTGGCACCACGGCCCCATCGATTGGTGCTCTCGACAGACCTAGGTGTGGCGCTTCGTGGGCGGCTACTCATGCTGCTCGAGGCCAGGTCGTTTGGCAGCCGAGTGGCGTGCGCGATGGCAGGCAAACACCACAGCACTGCACGGGCGAATGCTCACTGGCGTTTGGCCACAATAAAGTGGTTGAAATTGGTGGGGCAGGGACAAGGGAAGAGAGGGGGGGAGGCGGGCGCGAAGCATGGTTTCATCGCTACCTCCGCCAATGCAGCAAGAAAGCGCAGGGTCCTGGCCAGAGCGGCGGCGTTGGGCGGAAAGGGGATTGGGACAACAAGGGCACCGGGCCAGGGCAGCGGCCGCCAATAGGGATCGGCTGCTATGAGCACTCGCGCCTAGTCGCCAAACGGAGGCCCGATCCACGGCGATCGTCGTTGACAGCCAACCCTTGAGAGGGCTGGCCCCGCCAGTTCATCACGTTGGCCACGAGGCGGGAGGGCAGGCCAGCTCGCCGCCACACCGCAGCCTCTAGCGGACGCTCTTCCAGTAGCTTTTGAACCGGGCGAGCATGCCACCGCACTTTGTCCTTTAAGTGGGTGCTCGTTCAGTGGCCTGCCTCGCACAGGCCGTGGCGGTTTCTGAAGGGCCGTGCCAAATGTGTTTTCACTGTCATGCACGGCCCGCAAGTGTTTGGCTTGATTGAGGTAGGCGACTTGCACGCCGCGCCATGCCACTCTCTGCTATGCTGCACCCCCTCACGCCAACACCCTTGGGCGCATGCAGCGGCACACGCAGATGGCGGGGATCATACGCGCCCGCTTGCGGTGCCCACGGCCGCAGCTATTGGCGCCCTCAGCAGGTGCACCTCTAGAGCCTCCCTTGCACCCGCTGATGCTGCCCGCTGCCGCCCTAATTGATAGCCCCAGGCAGCCTAGTCACCAAACGGAGGCCTGATCTAGAGGCAACACGGGGACGCCCGGCCCCGCTGCGTCGTTGCCCTGGGCGGGCAGCTCGGCCCTGCGCTGCAGCTTAGGCTGGGCACTATTGCAGTGGCCCTAGGAGCAGCAGAACATTAATAGCGCCAATATTGACGCCGGTGTCAGGCCCAACCGCGTTCGCAGCAAGGCAATCCACGCTCGGTCCACACGCTCCGCCGACTCGATCGCCGCTTCGGTGGGCCCTTGTCCCGCTTTTGCTTTGTTTTATTTTGCTTTCTCTCAAGCGTGGCCGCATGGCCGTGCATGCCTTTGTGGGCCATCGACATGGCCCCCCTCTTGCGGGGTCTTGCGCGTCGCCTCGCAACGCAGCGATCCTTGCCGCTGAAAGTGTCCAAGGTTGGGTGGTGGCGAGGCGGGGTGTGTGGGGAGGTGGGCTGGGTCGATCGTGTTGTTTTGCTCCTTGTCCAATGGGCCGCACCGCGCCGCACCAGGTGGTTCCAGGAGGCCCGCGTTGTGGCCTGGGGCCTTGGGGCCGGCATTGGAGGTGTGTCTTTCACGGGGCCTTTCACGGCTCCGTACATCCTGTGGCCGCTTGGCTCGCGCCCTGACGCCCGCTTCCTTGCCGACGCGTCAAATCCTCGCGGCCAGCCAACAGCAAGAGACGCCAATCGCCCGCGTCGAAAGCATACTTTCCCTCCAAGGAGGGCGCGGGCGGCGTCGTGAGCCTTGTGGGCCTTGGGGCAAAAGGGGCAATTTGATCGACAACGTGGCAGTGGGCCTGTTGGTGCGCTGCGCGATGCCATAGAGGTTTGCGCAGTACTGTAAAATATTAAACCCTTCCGCACAGTAGCGTAACGCTTGGTCCTTTCTTGTGGAGAAAACAATATAAGTGGTAACGCAGATCTTGGCCTTTCTGTGCGGAGCAACGTAAAAAACATAGAAATAACGCTCTGAAAAACAAAATGCGGAGCAAAAAGCATAAAGGTGAAATTTTCTGATGCGGAAGGGTTTAATATTTCAACATTTCAAATATTTTTAATATTGCGGACTGCGGATGTGATGACATGGAGAGGAGTTATTTTAATGTTATTTTACCTGTTACTGTTGTACCGTTACACGGTTACTGTTGCTGTTTATTTTACCATGGGTTGCCTGTGAGCAGTACACCTGTGAGCAGTACGTAAGGCTGGCTGCAGCAGGGGCGGCCGGCAAGCTTTGTTAATACCGCCGGTTTAATTGTTGGGCTCCCGTTGGGTGGTACTGTTGAACTGAAAAGGGTTCACATTGAATTTTGCAGCTCTTTATGATTCCGCTGCACCCATGTTGGCATGTGGCCCATTGCTGAATTCTTTTGTGAACGAATTGTTGATTGTGCATGTGCACAGTGTGTGTGTATTTAGTGTACACGCATATTGTTATGATGTTGTTGCATCGATGTTGCCATGTGCTCTGTTGCTCAACTCGTTTTCTGAATGGATTGTTGATGACGGCAGTGCTTGTTTTGTGATCAGTGTTGCCAAGAGTGGTGTCAAGGGCAGTGTCCATAATTCGCAAGGAGGGCAGCCATCCGTCTCCATACACACCTTGCAGACCGGATGCAGTCGGGCAGGATTTGCAGGTATCCCTCATCACAGAGATTTTGCTAGGCGACGAGAATACCTACGTGGCCCTCATAGGCATGGGGGGCATAGGCAAGACCACACTTGCGCAGTCGATCATGCATGATGAGCGGATAAAAACCAAGTTTGCGAAAAATGAGAAAACAGGTTGCCTTGGCTTGGCGTTCGTCACGGTTTCACAGGAACCTGATATCACGAAATGCCACAAGAGAATATGGGATGTCCTCGTGGGAGAAAAAGCAGAGTTTTGCAGTGTTGAAGATGGCAAGTTGCAGTTGCGAGCAAAATTGCAGGGCAAGACATATCTTCTTGTGTTGGACGACTTGTGGGAAGGGATGGACATGATGCACCTCGATGTCGCATCAGCAAGTGGCCATGTGTTGATCACTTCACGGAATGACAAAGTTGCTGAAGTTGTGCGCGCAAGGCGCCATGATGTCACATGCTTGGACGAAAACGAGTCGCATGAATTGTTCCGCAAGCACGCCTTTGGTGAAGACAAGCCAAAGAGGTGGCAAGAAAAGCATATCAAGGCCATTGTTGAAAAATGTGGGGGTTTGCCACTTGCTCTGGAAATCATGGGAAAGGTGGCGAACAGCATAAGAGCCACAGGGGGCCGTGAGGAGAAGGACATGTGGAAGAACGCCGTGGATGCCCTTACAACGAGCTCATGGTTCCAAACAGCTGTGGTCGATCGTGTGTTTGGTGTAAGTTTCAACAGGCTGGACCCCGTGCATCAGAGTGTGTTGCTGGACTTGGCGACATTGCCTGAAGACTACCGTGCTAGTGAGTGCGACGAGGCAGAACTGCAGAAGTGCATAGGAACGTGTGATGATGAGGGCACAGTGCGAAAGGTGTTGAGGGAACTTGAAGACCGAGCGCTGATCAAGCAAGGAGGATAAGACAGCTCGGAAGTTTTGGAATTTCAACCCAGGGATGGTGGGGTGCACTATTACTTGCATGATGTGGTCCGTGATTGTGCTCTCCGTGCTATTGCCGGCGAAACAATGCAAGTACGACAGAGGTTGGTTTCATCTCATTTGAAACACAGCAGTTGCAAAGATCAAACACTGGCCGCAAAGAGGTTTTCTGCGTGTAAAATAATTGGAGCAGACCAGTTGTGCGCTTTGCAGAATCTGCAGATGCAAGAGTTGAAGGCCCTTGTGTTGAAGGATGCAGGGATATCAGAGCTACCACCAACACTCTTGACGAGCCAATTGGTGGCAATTGACCTGACGTCCTCGGGCATCGTCAAACTGCCTTCACAAATATCTTGTTTGCAATCTGCCCAGCTACTCAGGGTGGATTACTGCGAAAAGTTGGCATGTCTTCCAGCTGAAGTGGGTGAACTGGTGCAGTTGAGAGTGTTGTCCATGAGGGGCTGCAGAAGCATTCATGACATTCCCGCATCCCTGGGACATCTGTCGATGCTGACCAAGCTACTGATGCCCCAGTGTGGTATTGCGCATTCCTACCATCCCGATATGGAAGCATGGCGCAACTTGACCATGTTGGACTTGAGTAGGTGCACTGGCCTCAAGCACTTGCCTCCAAATTTTGGAGATTTGGCAAGCTTGACTGCGCTGAATCTGGGTGGCTGCTGGCAGCTCACAAGCTTGCCAGCCAGCATTGGTCAGTTGAGTCAGTTAGAAGTGTTGATCTTGCACAACTGTGACAGCCTCACGGAACTGCCCAGCAGTATGGCAGACCTTTCCAACTTGCAAGAGTTTGATGTACAACAATGCCCGCGATTGGTGGACATTCCTGAC